AAGTTAAAGGTTTCTTAAAGAGAGGTGACACAAAAACAGAATGTGCTTGCGAAAGACTGTGTTCGCGAAAGAAAGGAAAGGAAAAAGAAAAGGAAAAAGAAAAGGAAAAGAGGAAAGGCAAAAAAAGAAAGGAAACAGAGAAAGGAAGAAGGAAAAGGAAAAGAAAGAAAAGAAAGGAAAGGGAGAGGAAGAACAGGAAAGTGGTAAAAAAAAAAATCTTTGCGAAGGCGTAGCGTTATATACCTGGAAAAGAAAATATCATCTCGTGTTTGATAAAACGAAACATGCATAATATTATACAACATATCCGCCCATTTTTGGAAAGCTGTATTATGTCTAACCCAACTTCCCAGGTATATGTGCGTCAATTTTATATAAATTTCATATGGTCAAACGAGGTGCGTCAATTGACTCATTCCAAAATTGCGCGGATATGATATTATAAATTTTATAAAAAATAAACTATTTAAAATTTAAAATTTAATTTTAATAAAAAAATTACTAGAGTATTTTTTGCATGTCATGTCTCCGGTCATGCTATTATCAAAACAATATAGGGATTTCTTTTCAGCAATCAATATTTCGCCCGTCCACTCACTGCGTTTTTGCCCACCGAAGGAGGAACAAAACTACAGATTATAATTGCTTATCTTTTTTTTCGAATAAAAAAGCAGGGATTTGGAAATGTGTATGCTAATCGCCATGATTTGCAAGGGATTAACGATGAAAAAAAAGTGCATAATAAAATGTTGATCTCAGGATCGTTTGCTCCTGGGATTGGAGAGATTCCCTGGGTCTGGGATCATTTACCCTGAGAAATTACTAGATTACTAGCATTGTAAAAACAAGCTGTATCATATTTCGAATTCCACAAGGCGAATAATCATCTATGCTATTTGAAGAGTTAGCAATATTACTGATTCATATAATGCAATTATTAACAAATCGGGAGTAAGAACCAAGAAATCCTTATAACTGTTATTCGTTCGGAAAGGAACTTGAGGATAGGTTTGACATCTATAAAAATTTGTATATAGAGCATGGGGCTTAGAGAAAATTAAACTATGAATTTGCAAAATTCTCCCCGACGAACTCAAAAAATGCAATCAAGATGAGAGTAGAAAGGACTCGGAAGATTTGAAATTTCAGCAAAATATTTGAACTTTATTTTTGCAAATGTATAATCTACTATTTTTTTATCATCTATGCAAATAAAATTTCTACAATATTGGTAAGGAAGGCATTAAATCATTTAATTCATATCGGTATAATAGCCAACTTCATCTAACTATTAAGTAAGTTCATTAAGCACAAGGTTCAATTGAAGAACCCATCCGCACCTAAGAGTCAAATTTTCGTTCCAGTTTATTTTATAGTAAACCGGAGTGTCATTAACATCCCAATGTATAAGGTACGGAGCTCGACTAGGTCTAGCATTTTGATTATTTTCTGGAATTACATGAGCAGAGACTCTCCCGCAGGAAAAGGATTCTGACGGTAGGGGCCAGACAATTGAGGAAGAGCGATTCCGACAAATTCAATAACATGAGTTTGCTGAACCCGAGCTATTCTATCTAACGCATTTTGACGATCTGGATCTTCGTTGAAAAACACCTGCAAGGATTTAAACCTGATAAGCAAAGCGATTTACAATTTTTCCCTGCAAGAATTTAGTTTACCTCTATCCAAACGTTCGGTGGAGGACATTGATGTACAATTGGATTTTGCCTTTGAAGAAACGTTGGCCTTTGAAACCATACGCCGACATCGGGTCGATAATCATTACCTCCAGCCACGCATATCGTATTAGGTGTCGCATACCAAATTGGATTATGTGCCCTAGCCGAATTCCTAAGTTCACAATGGATATTTTCTTTATTCCCTCCGTCATACTAAATATAAAATTGGTCAGATTTAATAATAAATGTAAATGTAACTCTGAATAGAACTTACTCTGATAAATATATCGTTATCGATTATTTGAGCGTTGTATTCATTGTGTATAGCTTCACGTACATACTTATCAACTTTATCTAGTCCGGGAATATGGATCTTGACAATGTTTTGATCTCGCTTTCGCGTTAATGATTCATTAATATTCGTGAAGATCTATCGTCACGTAGTCGTTAGCCATACTTCTTGCTATTGTTCTTAAATAGTTTTAGACATTACTTAAATACCTGCTTAATTTTAAAGG